TCCTTTCATTCTTTAGTCATGTGTAAAAGATTCCCATTTTGGAAAGACTGCTAGCCTTTTTCATCTATGATATTTGTGATTTTTAATATGGCTTTGTTTTACAAAGCATCTAGAAGGGCTACATGTGGAGAAATGAAGGATACAAGTAACAGCCAGTAAATACAGAGCTGTTTTCTTCAGTGCTAACTGTAGTTATTGGTCAAATTTCAGAAATTACTAGGTACATGTAGGTTTCTTTCTGAGCAGCGCAGAGATATGTGGTTACCTTGTACAGTCTGAGTAAACTTTCAAGCTTCACAAGTTATTTGGTCCTTTTGTAACTGCAATCTGCAGCATAAGGTCTTTCAGACCCACAGCTCCAGCCTGAAAGCTGAGATAACAGGAGGGAGCAGGAACATCTTTCCCTCATCTACACAGCAAGGACTTCTTTCCATACGTAGGTGTTACCAGTTTTCTGTGGTACCAGACTGAATTCCTGCAGATGGCTTTACACAGAGTTGTCCTTGAAAATCAGTAGTAAATTTGGCTAGTGGATGCTTCAGATGCTCTATTTCCCATGAAGTACCAAATCTGTCTTCGTAAGGTATGGGGACTTCTTGTTAAATTCCTTGTCCTGTTAGTTACAATACAATTAAATAGACCTGTCTTCTTAATCTGTATTAAATCCCATATATCCAAGACACTGTCTTTCTCTTCACACATACATGAGCCTCTGTCTGGTGAGTTCAGCCAGAGTGATTCAGTCTGACATTGCCAAATTAAATTAGAACTCTGTTTGGATTTTAAATTGAGAGTCTGAAGCTCAGGAATTATGGACCTTTAACTTTGAAATGAACTTTTTTTTTTTGCCTGGTGCAGCATAAGGTTGTTGGTATGCAAGTCCCAGCACAGATTCATCTATTTACTCAGGTTGTTTCTTAGGGGATGATTTCAGGGAAATCAGGGGATTTCACGGCGAGGGAGTTTTATCAAAATTAATCAAGCTGGATACAATTGGTGGGTGTAGGAGGGTGTTATAAATATTGTGTAGCATTTTGGCCTAGAGGGCACCCTAAGTACACTTTTGCAGTTAAGATATAAATATAGGAATGATTTGAAACATTATCCAGTGCTGAACAGTCACGTTGTTTAGCAAAGACATTCAGCTTACTTCTCATTCACTCTTCAGGAGCCTTTCCATTGCCGTCAGATCACCAGATTTTGTCATTGGGCTTCAGAAGAGCAGGTGCCCAGGAAACATCCAAGCTTTGATACATGTGCCCTCTCTATAAGGAGTGGAAACCAGGTGCTTTCGGCTACTGTATGTCACTGCTTTGAGGTTTTTGGCAAAAAAACATTTGTGAGATGAGTTGCCCTTGAGGAGAGACCAGGTCCTGTGTCTTCTGCATCATGTACTTCCAATCTCTCCTCGTAGCAGTGATCAAGAAGCATTTCCGCTTCTTTAATATTGAGTTATAAAAGCAATCAGTTACTTATTTTTAAAAGTAGAAAGAATTAATCTTAGCTTATTAAGAGCTTTGTTAGCCAGAGATGTAAACTGCTGAATGTCTGAATAAATCTGGTCTACTCATCTCTTCATGGAGTCTATAATCCTTAGAGAGTGTAAAAAATTTACAAGACATCTCTGAATGCTGAATTTTGCATTGATTTAGATATTACATTTGTTTGAAAGACATTTCAAATCATAACCAGGCAGATGCTTTTCTCCTCATTAAATCTTAGAGGAGAAATTCTGTTTATTTTAAAAGGATGTAAAATCACCTAAGTCTGTAATATATGCTCAAGACAGGGGACCAGAGGGTGTTTGATGACTAGCAAAAGAAGCCTTCAAATTTCTGGGGATCCTTGTGTGTCTATGTCTGTCAAGAAAAAAAAAAGTGAAGAGGAGAGTAACTCCATATAATCATAGGTGTGTGTAGAAGCTAGTTTCTAAGTATCTCAGATGCGAGGCCTAAATTTCATGGGTTAATCTTATTTAATCTTAATGGATCTACTAGTAGAAGGAACAGCTGAGCAATCAGATCTTTATGAAGCTCCGTATATACTGACATCGATCCATTAATGTTCATTTCCTAGCAGTTGCAGCAAATAAATGTAAGTAATCAAAATTGTTAAAAATGTTGTTGTTTTGTTTCTTACAGTTAGGGTAAGTTACAAGCTTAAATATAAGAAAAGGGGTAAAAACAATGCTGTAGCTGTGTTTTAAACAAGAACCTATGAGAAATGTTTACTTTGATAAGAGAAGAGGAGAAAATATAATGAATATATTAGTGAGACTAAAATCCCTGTTCTGTCTGAACGGGCCTGCTAGATGATGATGTTGATGATGAATCTAAATCTTTGTTCATGAGCGAATAGTTCGGTATCTACTACAGAGGACTACCTATGCATGTTTTGCATGCCCACTCTTTGTATATAGCAGGTGGCTTTTGTAAATCATGACAGGAAAGCATCTGAGTGAGCAGAATAAAAAGGACTGTAAACAATTTATGAAATAGCTGGTATATATTTCAACCTAATTCAGACAGGAACATATGAGCTTTCCAGTTTTTTCCAAAGAAGAATAAAAGCATATAATTTTAGCAGCATTGATGCTTGCAGGATAGCTTTAAATCTGCCCAATAATTTAGCTGGAGAGTCTGCACAAGTTGACAGTCAAACTGACTTGTGTCTCTTGGTAGGAAGTAGAGAAGGGAGGAGCTGTATTTGGGAAACCAAAAATGAAGTTTCAACAGACCAGGTTTCCAAACTTCATCTATTGCTACTCCAAAACCCTCCCCTTTCAAACTGTTTTCTACAATACACTGACCTTTCTCTTTACAGCTGACCAGAACTTTTCAAGTAGAAAATTTTGTATTGAAAGAGGTAATTTTGATGAAACAGGAGCAGAAAAAAATTATTTAAGGAATACTGGAATAGAACTTCCATTTTAAGTCAATGATCATTTTATCTGAAGTAAAAACCGTTCTGCACTGTATAAAATGTTTAAAAAGAAAACAGAACAAACCACTTTGGTTCCCATCAAAACAGTATTTAAATCAACCTCCAAGTGATTTTTAAATTATGTTACATGGGAGTATGAAAATTGTTCACTTTTCCTCCATTTCGCAAAGGAAAAATATTCAAAATCAGGTAATTTCCCATGACAAGCAAACACTGCTTACAAGCCAGCTCCAGCCTTGCTCTGTTTTTGACCTGATTCCCTGCTTGTCTGATGGCAGCTCATATCTCTGAAAAAAATGCAGTCCCGTGTAGTGCCTTCAAGTTTGTTTACCATATGATAAAGGTACTGTATGTTAAGAAATTTGAGAAGGTGTTAAGATCGGGGACATGGGCTGTTTCTGAGGGGAGAAATGTTAGATCTGTGGGCCACAGCAGGATCAGAACATAGGGATCAGGGACAAAAGTCAGTGGGATGACTCTGGCCTCTCTGGGGGGACAAAGGCGGCAGGGCCACTTGGTGCTACTTCCTAATGGGGAAAGCCTTTGTTTCTCCCATAATGGTCGGGGAAGATCAAAGCCACTGAAATCCTAGTGCTCTTTCCCTAGCCTTTCCTAAAGCCTTTTGATATCCCCGGCGTCTTCTTACGAGCCCCAGATTTCTGCCAGTTCCCATCTACTCCCACCTGCTGTTGCTGGGGTTGGAGAGACAGCATTTGCAGCCACATGACAGGGTATCAGGACCTGGTGACCTACTCTCCAGTCTTAGCAAAACTCAGACCATTGCTGCTCTGTGCAGCAGCCATGCATGAGCCTCAGCAGGAAGACCTGTTGTCTTTGTGAATGCCAGGTTAGAGAGGAAGAAGACTACAGGGTGTTATATGTTGGGAAGAACCAACAGCAGCATTTGCAAATGCTTTCCCTGCCAAAGCCAGAGGAGCAAACCAAAGCTCAAACACTGTAATGATATGCTAGCATGCTGCAGGTTCATTGTGTCAAGGGCAGAGATTAATCATTAAAGCATGGATGAAGGGGAATTTTCTCCCCTTTTTGTTCATATCTGAATGTCCCTTTAGGCCTGGTTCTGGCAGAACTGTCCTAGGCTGGCCCTGGGGAAGCTTCATGCCCAGAGGCAGAGGACAGGCAACCCCTCTGGCCCTGGTTCTCTCCTTGAATGACCTGCAGGGAAAGGGGGCACCAGTAAACCCCTGGGCTGGATTCTCCATAATGAACATACCTCATGGATAAACACACAGGCAAATTACTAGCTGTGTGACAGTAAAAAAAGAGCAGATATTGACACAGGGAGAGGACACTCCTGAGGCAGCATTTACTGCAAACCCTTCTCTGAACGAGCAATAGTTAAATGTTTGTCCTTGCTTCTTTCTTTCAAAAGTAGGGCAAATATCTATAGAGTTCCCAGTGGGGAGGTAATCTAACTTTAACTTTCATACAGTCAAGTAAAACACCCGAGACCTGTGTTAGGGATGCAAGCAGGTCGTCTGAATTATGATTATTCAATCTGGTATTATTTTAATCTGGCATGCCTCTCATGTGCTTCATTTAGGTTCATCTTGACCTGAAAACTGCAATCTCAATGCCTTTATGCCTTTATCCTTACAGGTGATTTATCTTGTTGCGGTATCTTTTTCTTTTCCTTTTTTTTTTTCCCCCCCTCACTATAAATATTTATTTTAATAGCGAAACCCTGCCCTTGAGGCAGATCGGCACATTTCACTGTCTCGGGTCTCCCGAGCGTGATCTGGGTCCCCTTCGAGCAGGAGCCTCTTGGTTTAACTCTCGCTCTAGCTAATTGAGGCAAGAAGATAATGAATTAAGAGCCGCGGGAGGTGAGAGCCAATACCCCCTCAGCATCCGCAGCGTGCTCCAGGTGATGCTTCCTTACTCGTTTACAAGACAATAGCCGACGAAATTAAGGAGGGGGAGAAAATGACTGATCCTTCTGTATGAGATAATGGATGAGCCCGGGATGACCTGTTTTTTTCCTTGCGGTAGAGCGGTGCTGAAGACAGAGGGCACCCGCGCCCAGCCCACAGCCGTCGCCCCGCCGCCAGCGCGCCAGCTCGGGGCGGCCGGAGAGCCGCCAATGCCCGCTCCCAGCAGGCAGGGAGCCACTGCCTCACCCGGCCAGGTACGTCTCAGGGGTGACCCTCCAAACGGACCGGGGGCTCAGCCGAGGGGCTGCCTGTGCGGCAGGCGGGGCAGGCGAGATGCACCGGGGAGCCGGTGGAGCTGCCCGTGGAAGCCGGCTTCAGGCGGCTCTGCCTGTCTGCGGGTGCGGACACACAGCCAGGACGGCGGCTCCCCTCGGAGCATCGCCTTCCTCGGGACCATCTCCAACCTCCCGCGCCTGCCGCCGGCCTCGGCACTCCTGCCGTGCGCCGGGGAGGGACGGGGAGAGGCGGCCAGCCCGTGGCGGTGCGTGCCGCGGCGGGTCGCCGCGCCTCGGGGGGTGTGTGCGAGCCAGTGTGCGTGTGAGCGAGTGTGTGTGTGAGCGACGGTGTGTGCGGGTGGGCATGCGGGGACACCGCGGCGGCAGCGCAGGGCGGGGGGCAGAAGTTTTGGGGAACCGCCATGCGGTGCTGGCGGGCGGCCGAGCCAGCGGTGGCGGGACCGGGACAGCGGGACACTGGGACATCGGAGCACTGAGACAGCAGGGTGCCGGGTCTTCGGGACAGGGGGCCAGCGGGGCGGGAGACTCGGGACAGGAAGACAGCGGGACAGGGGCCCAGTGGGGCCGGAGCCCACGGTCCCGCAGCTGCCCCAGGTGCCGGGCTCTGTCCCGGGTGCTGACGGCTCGTCGTGCAACAGGGACATGGCCCGGCCGCGCTCCCTGCTCTCGGGCGGCGACGGTGGCATCCTCCCTCTCCGTCACGGCATTTCGAGCCACCAAGCCCTGCCGCCGGACTCGCCGCCGCTCCCTGCCCCAAGCCTGTCTGCACGGCAGGCGTGCCCGTAAGGCACATCAGGACTTTGCTCGCAGTTGCCTTAGTAACAAAAATGTATTTTCACCTGCTTTCATGTGTGTCCCTGGCTGAACTACAGTTTTGCCCCCTGCACATGGAAAAGTTAATCTAAACTGTAAAGTGGTTCCTTTCTTCCTCCCTTCGCTGACCTTTAAATGACATTTCCCGTGGCTGGCAGAGCAGTCTGTTCGCTTTCTCTTTTTACCCACATTATGTATTAAGAAAGGAAATTTCTAAATTGAGAAAGATGCCTTCAGGTAGTCAGAAAGAGAAGGGAGAAGAGCTTGTCACCCCGCTTTTAGGGGTAGGGCCGCTAGGGCTGGGCTGGGGCTCTTCCCCAAAGAACTGCCTGCCTCCTGAAACTTTCAAAACTTCCCGGGGGCGGAGGGTGGGGAGTGTGTGCTTTCTGGAGGTGCAGGAAGTAGCCTCCTTTTCTTGAAAAGCAGGTGCAAAAAGAATTGTAGAAATTCAACATATGCGAGTATGCATGATAATATATCAAGGCCAATAAATATATATTTTAATCCTTCTTGAAACTTCCTTTTCAGAGGCTTACCGAAGCAAATTGCCCTGGGTGTTTGTGAAAGTGGTCATCTCAAACTGTGAGGGGTTGCTTTGTCGAGCTCTGGTTTGACATCAATTTCCCAGTTAGCCCATTTTATCCCTTATTTCTATGCCACCAGGTTAAAAATCACTAGGACGACGGTTGTCTTGGCACCTTCGAGAGTGATACTGTGAGGCTTTGCTGTGATGGTATTTGGAGCAACTTGGGCGTCGTTGGGGAGAAGCAGATGCCATTTCCTACATGTCCTTAAAACATGTGCAGGCAAGAGGAGCCCATGAAATTCGTAACCTGGGTCTGGATGACATCGTGCAACAAAATGTTTGGCGTGCTGCTGGTCTTTTTCCCTGCTCTGCTCCTGGAGATGGACGTGCTGCCCAGGAGTGCCGGGAGGAAGGTGCTTCTCTCTGCAGCCTCCTCACAGAGGTCGGTGGCTCGGATGGACGGCGATGTCATCATCGGGGCCCTCTTCTCTGTCCATCATCAGCCGCCAGCTGAGAAAGTGCCCGAGAGGAAGTGCGGGGAAATCCGAGAGCAATACGGCATCCAGAGAGTCGAAGCCATGTTTCACACTTTGGATAAAATTAACGCCGACCCCGTCCTGCTACCTAACATCACCCTGGGCAGCGAGATCCGAGACTCCTGCTGGCACTCCTCCGTAGCCCTGGAGCAGAGCATTGAGTTCATACGAGACTCCCTCATCTCCATCAGAGACGACAAGGACGGAGGCACCCGCTGCATTTCCGAGTCGCAGCCCCAGCCTCAGACCAGAGTGAAAAAGCCCATCGCGGGGGTCATTGGCCCAGGCTCCAGCTCAGTTGCTATCCAGGTCCAAAATCTGCTCCAGCTCTTCGACATCCCCCAGATTGCTTACTCCGCCACCAGCATCGACCTGAGCGACAAAACGCTGTACAAGTACTTCCTCAGGGTGGTCCCCTCCGACACGCTGCAAGCCAGGGCCATGCTTGACATCGTCAAGCGTTACAACTGGACCTACGTCTCCGCCGTCCACACAGAAGGTGGGTATGGGGCAACCCCTCCCCGCCCCGGGCCGGCCCCAGGGCGCTGCGCCCTCCGCAGCGGCTCCGCAAGGACCCGCCGGGGATGGGTCACTCGCCGGGACCCCGCGAGGGGAGGCTCCTCCCCGACACTGCGCCGGGCGCTGCCACCCGCGGAGACCGTGAGGGGAACGGGGAGAAGTGTGTGGGTGCGGGGGTGCAGTCCGGCGACGCAGGAAAGCCCTCAAGAGATCGGGCATCTCCCCGGCGGTTCCGTCCCCGTCCCCTATCCGATTCACACAGAGTGGTTCGCGTGTTTCTAAATAAAAGTTAACAGACGTGAGCAGCCGGATCTGGGGCGGACAGCCGCGGCGGGACCGGGGGCTGTTCCTGGGGCTGGTGAGTCTGTGGGGCTGACACGTTCGGCCGCTACCATGGCGGGAATTTTGGCAAAACGGAGTCAGGGCTCAGCAGGGACTCCTGGACTAGGTGCTGGCTTTGCTGCGTGGAACTGATTTCCTGGGACTGCTAACACTGAGGGGAGAAACCTGAAATCCCTCCGCAGTCCAGGTAGCCCCTGCAAAATCAGGACCCGTGGGAAAAGGCGGGCAGCCTGTCAGGAAGTCCGGGCAAGAATGTTTACGTGCGGGCTGAGCAATAGTAAAAAATATTGCTCTGTACAATATATTCATAGTCAACAGGTTTTCTTAATTTTAAATATCAAAAGAAAAATATCAATAGTAAAGGTATTTTAAAAAGGAGCTGTTGGTGTATAGCCAGGCTAGGTGGGCCAGCATAAATTGCAGAAGAAATTGCATTTGATAGAAAAGGATCTCTTGTGATATATTATCATGATATTTTTGTGGTCCAGTTGTGGCCCTCAAAATGGGATTTTTAAGTATACAAAATTGCAAACTTGATCACATTATTGCTGTAGCTTTGCAACTATTCTGTTTAACTGAGTGTATCTCTTGTATGGATTTGATTTATGATTCCCTCTGGTTACTGAGCTGACTCCACACCTTTCATTCTCACAGAGATGACTAAGTGAAAAGAGATAGGAAAACATATAGTGATGAATAAATAAAAGAATCTCCAGGAAGAGTTGCATATTTACAACATTCAAAGGGAAATTGGATTGATCTGAAGACATAAACCAGAAAGTGCTGCAGTTTGAGGGGGGATGGGGGAGAAGAGCTGAAGCAATGACCTGACATTTGGAGTTCATTTATGCCCTGTTCAGAGGAGAAAACGAACCGTTAGCAAGTGTCGGAAATGAGCTATCAAGATCCTCTATTGTTGACAGATAGGATTAGTTCTTGTGGATGACAAATAAACATGAAACGGGTAAATTCTTGGTTGATGTAAATAGCCATTTCTCCCTTCAAGGCACTTCGGGAAGCTATGCTGTGCCTGAGGAGCTGCCTCAAGGGGCCGGCTCCCTCTCTCTCCTACTCTCCTTAAAATTTATGGGCCTTACCTCTTCTGGAAAAGACAACACCTTCTGAAGGTTCATTTTAAAAAAAGATTATTATAAGTAGCAATTTCAATCATTGCTTCTGAGAAATTTTAATGAGATCCCTATTTTTATGAATGTTACTGACTGATGAAAAATAGTTGTTGCAAGATATTTTTAGACTTTGAAGTGATACTTTCGAAAATAGGCATAGCCCACAAGCTAACACTCTCCTTTTAGGAAAGGTCACAAAGATTTTGCAGATAATGAAACTTAGATTAATATTTGCTATTATTATTATTAATCTGTATCTTCCATTCCTTTGTTGTTAGAGTCAAGCTACAACTTTCACTAGAAATATGTAGCAAACTTCAACTTCTGCTTTTCTTTCCAGACAGACAAGTTATTAAACCCCACCCAAATGCTGTTGGGTAGATTCCAAAGTCTTTTTTTTTTTTTTCTATTTAAAGTGAGATTAGTATTCATGAAAGTCAGTGTAAATTGTTACATTTCTGTTGTTTCAAATCCCATGCATTCACTGTGAGAGATCTGCTTGCTGGTTTGTTAAAGGTGAGATCATTCTTTGCAGACAACACAAAGCTACTTTGAATAATAGTCTCTGTGAAGAGGAATTGCTCCATCCATGCTATGTTTGGAAATACAGGGATAAAGTGTAGTCAGAAACATTCCTCCTCCACAATTACTCATAGGCCTCTACACTGTCTTTATAGTGGGCTGCAAAATGTGCTGGGAGGAATTCTAGGGTATCACAGGTTGGAGAAGCTGTTCAGTGGGGACTGTGAGAAAGGGGCATGTTTCTAGGAAATGCATAGGGTAACACTGTGGAGAAGTTAATTCTTTTGCCCTCTGGATACTCCAGATCCAATCTGGTCCCCTCTCCAGAGCAGCAAAGCTGCTTAGTTCCCACCCAACCTCTGGTTCTCATGGGGATGGACAGTGCTCGGTTCTTGTAAGGCCCAGCCACAAGGGGATGCAATGAGACCACTGAGCTGACTGATCGCCTCTGTCATCGAGCCATGGTCCTCAGTCCTCACTGACCCGGAGCAGGGTCAGGGAAACAGTCCAGAGAGATGAGCCCTTTCCCAGGCTGAACCATCCAACTCCTTGTTTACCCTTCCTCTACTCCTATAGTCTAGCTGAAGTTATTTGAATGCCCAGAACAATACCAGTGTACACAATTACAGCTTTAATTATAATCAGAAATAAATACCACAATTTTTGAGCCATGTTAACATGAAGCCTACACATGCCATGGTGATGGACATGAAGAATTCACCCATGTAGGATGATGTCTTTAAGTAGTTTGCATTTGACATGAAGATTTATTCTTCATGTGCTAATAATCATTAATAATTCATTAATTAGTAGTGGTGACTTTTAACTACATTCAGTCTTTATACTCTAGTACATGAAGTTGCATAAAGATGTGCCAGACCTGTTGGGGCTTTTTGCACAGTGGTTTCTTTATTAAGAAGTATAAACACTATACTTGGGTAAAAACTTCTGAGCTAGTGAATAAAATCTGAAAAAGGCCCACATTGCTCCTTTTAGATTAAAAGTGACACATACAACTCCACATTAAAGAACAAAGAAAGGGGGTTTACTAAGTTTGATTATTTTATTATGTATCTCAGTTGTGCACAGTTGCCCATCATGAGACTGAATTTTTTCCAGAGTGGGCAGCAGTCATTAAGTGATGTAAGAAATCTGTGCATCTGCTGGTGGAAGGCTGTTGACTGTATAGTAGCTGCAAGGCATTTTCGAGGCTATTATATTTTAAGTTTTCTTCAAAGTTAACTCAGTGTTGGAGTTCTTGGCGTGTCTACATCTCAGCTCTTAGGCTTGGGAGTCATTCTTATCTTGAAATACACTTAAATGGATACTTAACTCTGAGCCAAAGCTTCTTGTGGAAATCAAAGGCATCAAAAAGCGTGTGTGCTAAATTGGACACAATCCTGATCATGATAAGGGAAGAAGGAGCTACACTTGCTAAGGGTTACTTTTCAAGTGAGATATTCTGGTCTTCATCGAAATAACCTCAGAGTCAGGGATTATTCTCAACTTAATCAGGCAGCCATTGGTTATTTGGTAACTGAAGAATTACAGGGAACACTTTTTTCCTCGCCTGGAGAAGAGCCCTTGGGCTGCCTCAGGAACATGGCAAGAGATAGTGGGCACTACTGCTGTGCTGCTTTCATGCTGAAGGTGCAGAAGTTAATAGGGTTGCCACCAGAAAATGCAGAACGGTTGTGAGATTACTGTCGGTTACGCTGACTTTCAAAACCCAAAAGACACCTGCACCCTGGCTAGTGATCAACAAGAAGTCTGCACCAAATCCCTCATGTTTAAATGTTCCCCTTATGCATGGAGCCTGAGAGATAATGGTGTAAGAAGTCTTTTTGTCATCTTCTAAGTACATCTTCTGAGTGATGTACTTAGAAGTGCTGAATAAGCAAATAGAAGTACTTAGTGCCTGTGCCTGGCTTTTCATTTAAACCATTATATGTCAGTTAGCCTTATAAAATGTATGTGAGATTTTTGATTCTGTGAAAACAAAATCTAAACCTGCAGAATAGATGTTTGAGTGCTCTTTACAATTTATGGACCATGCTTACACTTCAGTGTAAAAATACTTCAATATAAATGGAATTTCCCTTCCAACAGATTATCATGCAGACTTTGCAGAAGCAACTATGGAAATTGAATAGTTAAGTTAATTGCACCAAATTTGGATTGTTTAGAAATTAATTAGAGAACAGTGAGATGTTTCTGGTCTTGATAAAATTTTCTCAGATTTGTATTGCCAGGCTGTTTCTTTTTCTTGAGTGTAAGGTTTAAAATGAACTATGATGAAGCAGATGGCACAACATTCAGATCAAAGTAGATGGTAAGTACATTATCTTCACAATGATTTTTGATAACCTGACTGCTGCACACTGCCTATTGTAGTAACGTACAGGAAACTCTTAAACATGGTTATATATGTTGGAAAGAGGATGGAAGGGAGCGAGTCCTGCACTTTACCAAAATTTCACTGGAAGTAAATTCATTCAGTAGAACCCACTGAAGCAGCTTTAGACATTCTAGAAGATAATACTTCTGTTTAGGGTATGTGGGGCTATATTCATCAAAGAGCTCAAAGTAATAATTTCCATACAATAGTGTTTAATTTCTCACAAGGTATTTCTAACTATGTTCTATTATTAATTCTAAGGTGTCACTCAATGATTAATACTTTTTGATAAAATTATTGTCAGACAACAAAGAACAGGAATTCCAGCTCAAATGTTTGAAATTTCAAAGTGTACAGTATTTCTATAGGTACCAACAATTACCAAAATGCTCTTAAAGGTTAACCTGATGAAGTGGTATGAATTGTGCTGAGATGTGTGTTCACAAGTGCATACTTCTGTCTGTTTTTTCTGCATTTAACTAGTTTCACTAACCATCTTTAGAGGCTTTGTGACATGAAAAAAAAAAAAAAGGAAAGGTATATGTCCCAAGGGGAACAGAAATTAGTTTCAAAACAAGTGAAAACTAGAAT